TAGAATAATACTTCTCATTTTATTTTTCATTTTTCAACTTTTTTTTTCTTTATACTTTGATTTGTTAAAATTAAGTATACTTTAGGGTAGAAAAAAATATCAGACAAAATGTAAAGTATTATGGTGGTTATAAAGTCAGTCAGTTTGTCCAACCCTGTATAGAGCTAGGCTAGAGAAAATAACAGAAAACATATAATGTTTTTCTGGAAAAAGCATTGATATTTATTTAAGAGGTTTTAGAGATTATGAAAATGAAACTTTAAAATTTTCAGATGAAGAAAAGTATTTTTAATCTTAACATGAAAATAAATTTGCACTTGGAGCAGCCAACACACTGACTCCATATATTCATGGACAAAATTTTAAATTAATACTTAATTAAGAATTCTGATTTTTTGTCTACAAAAAACTTGTACTGTTTGCTAAGAGCTTGAAAAATTTCATGAAGATACACAAAACATGTTAAAAGTTATATTATGGAAACTGATGGTCACTTGGGTTAACAAGGTCAATGTAATTCAATGAGCTCGTAGCAAGAGGGTTGTAGTACAACAAGGAATCTTTTGGTCCATCTAGGTCATCCTATCCACTAAATTAAACTTAACACTAAAAAGATAAAAATCAGCATCCGCCGTTATCATTCAAATACTTATCAAGCTTTTACTTAAGTTCCCTTAAATTAACTGCATCAACCACACCTTGTTAGAATATAAAGCTGTCTTAGCTGATGATGACTTCTACTCTGCCAAACTTTATATTTATGTCCACTAGTCTTACTATCGTCACCTTTATATATGAAAAAAGATGATGCATCAATACTATAAATTCTCTTAATAATTTTAAACACCTGAATCAAATCCCCTCTAACTCTTCTTTTTTCATGAGAAAACAAGTTCAGAGATCTTAACCTGTCCTTGTATGACAGCCTTTCCATCGCAGGTATCCTCCTAGTAGCACTTCTCTGAACCACTTCCAATAATTCAATGTCCTTTCTTAGGTAAGGAGCCCAAGACTGAACACAGTACTCCAAGTTTGGCCTGACCAATGACCAAACAATGACATTATAACCCCTTCAGAAGTTACATTCATTATTTCTGTAGATACAACCTAAAATCCTATTTGCCCTACTATTAGCAACAGCACATTGCTTGGATAGCTTGAGAGACTGATGAACCATAACACTAAGTTCTTTCTCTTCCATACTACTGTTAAGGTTATTCCCATGAAGATTATACACATAATTCAGAGTGTGATATTCCACATGCATTTCCTTGCATTTCTCATAATTTAAAGTCATCTGTCATTTATTCACCCAACTCATCAAATAATCCAAATCCTTTCATAAGCAGTAACATTCTCCTCACAGCCAGCAATGTCTAAAACTTTAATGTCATCAGCAAATTTAAATAATCTGTTGACAATTTTTTCATCTACGCCATTGATGTAAATTAAAAAGAGCAAAGGTCCTAACACACAGCCCTGAAGTATTCATATGTGAAGTTACTCCAGTGTGATTGAACTCCATTTACAACAAACCCATGCTTTCTTCTATCTAGCCAGTTTTCTATCTAATAAGCAAACCTATCCTTTACACCTACATATATAACTTTCTAACAAGCTTTTTATGTAGTACCTTGTCAAATACTTTCTGAAAATCCAGATACACCAAATACACCCCTGTACTCTCTTCCATATAAGCAGTACCCTCTTCAAAGAGGGTCAAAATATTTTTAAGGCAAGATTTTCCCCTAAGGAAATCATGCTAACTATCCAACAAATGTTTTAACTTTGTTAAATAACTTTACAAATAATCTTTCATTAGACCTTCAAAAACGTTTCCTACAACTGATGTAAGGTTAATAGGCCTGTAATTTCTGAGACAATTTTTATGACCTCCCTTGAAAAGAGGAATAACAGTAGCCAGCATCCAATCTTCTGGTACCTGCCCACCATTCAAGGACATAGAAAAATAGTAGTAAGTGGCTCAGGTATCTAATCATTAACATCTTTCAAAACCCTTGAGTAAATATTATCTGGCCCAGGAGATTTATCATTCTTTAAACTTCCAATTTTTTTCTAATCACACTCAGGATTAAGGTGATCATCTTTTTTCCACTTATCAACTGTTCAGGATGAAGAATATTGCTTAAATCTTTATTAGTAAAAACTAAAGAAAGGGTAGAATTTAATAACCCAGTCATCCCATAATCATCAGATATTAGCATTCCTGTATTATTCTTCAAAGGCTCTGTTCCCAACCTAACATTTTGCTTGCCCTTAATGTATTTGAAGAAATCCTTAATATTGATTTTTACATTTTTTAATCAATTTTATTCTTTCTTCATCCCCTTTGTAAACCAACCTGGTTTTTTTTTACTTGCAGCCACCCTTTTTTTGTCTATAAAGAAAATGCCCATGTTGAATATTTAACCATTTATTTAACAATTTTGGCCATATTTGATCAGTATCTTCAAATAATTCATTTGCCCAATTCACAGCAAATAATTTTTGTCTCATCTCTCCAAAATTTGCTATTTTTGAAATTTTGAATCAAAATATTTTCCTTATGTCCATATGCCTGAAAACATCAAATATAATTGAGCAATGATCACTTGCACTCAGATGTTCCCTAACATCTACCTTATCAACTATTTCTTTATTAGAAGTTAATAATAAATCTAAAATAATATTGTTCCTGGTAGGTTCTCTAATGAGTTGTTGAAGAAAACCATCCTGAACAGTCTAAAACCTGTATCCCTCGTGATTTGACTCTAACAATTCCCAATCTATTTGGCTACAATTAAAATCTCCCATAATCATAACTTCGTTAACAGTTGAATTCTTCATCTCACTGTATATTTTCTCATTAATTTCATTAGTTGTTCTGTAAGAAATTCCAACTAAAAATCTTATGCCCTTATAGCCACTAATAGATTCAACCTTATTGCTATTAGCTTTGATATCCTCAACTTGAACAGGCCTATATAATTTAATAGTATTTGCATTAGGGCTTTATGCAGGTCAAGCCATGGTTGCATGTTTCCCATGACGTATTTTCTTTCCAAGTATCATTTTGCCACATTTGTTGTATGCTTGGGATCACTGTCTTGCTGGTAGATGAATCCGTTTGGAAAGTTTTGTTCCAGAGGGAATAACTTGATGGATAAAAATCTGCTTTTATCTGCAACTAATCAGGTTTCCATCAATTTTATATATCCTCCAACATTATTGACTAAAATATAGCCTGAATTTAGATTGGTTTCCCAGAATGCTTCACTGTTGATACTGTTCTCCTTTCTAACATTAAACAGCTATTGGTTGTTGCAAAATTATTTAAATTTTAATTCATCCTCTTTCAGCTATGCTTATCTCATTATTTGAAGTTTTATGCTCATTTCAGCCTTTTGAATAGATATACATCCATTGAGATATCAACAGTACTGGTTTTACATATCTTTTTTCAGAAATATTTTACAGATCCTTGCGAAACATGAAACTTTGACTCAACCAGTTATTATAAGGAGTAGTTTTCACCAGCCAAAACTTTGTTATCTATCTACATGTTTTTTATGTGATACTTCTATCCTGAAAGCCCCAAATGTATTCAACTACTTCTGGGAAGAGTATAACTTTATGTATTGGCATTATACTGGTGTAGGACTGTCTGATTAGTTGGATGACAGCCAGTCACTGTGTAAACTACCAACACTAGTGTACTTTGGTACAGTTCATATTCATACAATAAAGGAGAAGCAATCTCATAATATTTGCATTTGATATCAATTTTATTCATGAATTCCATAATTATTTCCAGTATTGTAGATATTTCTAATAGAAGTTTAAAGTAATGCAAGCTACTCCATACATTTTCATCTTGATGAAAGAAATAATTCTTTTAAATACTAAATTGGATCTACATTTTCAAAGTCTGTATTTATTTCTTCCAAGTTAAATAATTAAATAAACCCTTTCTACATAATAAGCTTTTTACAACATCATAGTATTATTGGTGCCAGAATAAATATCTAAAACACGTTCTACTATTGGTGCCAGAATAAATATCTAAAACACGTTCTATTATTGGTGGCAGAATAAATATCTAAAACCCTTTCTATTATTGGTGCCAGAATAGATATCTAACACACATTCTACTATTGGTGCCAGAATAAATATCTAAAACACTTTCTATTATTGGTGCCAGAATATATATCTAAAACACGTTCTACTATTGGTGCCAGAATAAATATCTAAAACACTTTCTATTATTGGTGCCAGAATAGATATCTAACACACGTTCTACTATTGGTGCCAGAATATATATCTAAAACACGTTCTACTATTGGTGCCAGAATAAATATCTAAAACACTTTCTATTATTGGTGCCAGAATAGATATCTAACACACGTTCTATTATTGGTGCCAGAATAAATATCTAAAACACGTTATGTTATTGGTGCCAGAATAAATATTTAAAACACTTTCTAAAACAAAATTATCTTTCACTTTTTTAGTGAAAAATTTACCAAACTTTTTCTATGCTTTTTTTTTCAGTTCACGTAAGCACAAAAACTCTTGAAGCCAAATTTTAATATTTTGAGCTTAGACTTGCATAGTTTGTATCCTTATGTGATGTTATTTAATTTATTGATGACTTAATTCCATTATTTCAGAAATGAGCTTTTCATTTAAACCAGTGAGAAGTTTAATTAAGATTTTTGTGCACTTTAAGTGTGCCCATCTACATTTTCTCTGTCATCATTTCCTGCAGTTTTTGAAATTTGGTTTTCCTAAACTCAGAGACACTACTTGTATTGATTCTGCAACTGGTACCAATATAAAAATCAAAGATAATGAGGCTATGATTGCTGTAACTCAAACAAATATGATCATCCCATCCTCAGTGTTAAAAATAAGCAATCTTAGAGCCTAGATCATCCCTAGTAAGAATATCCTATAGGATTTGTAAACTTTTTTATGTATCACTGAGTTGTGAATGATTGTTTGATTTTAAATTTAGCTTTTCTTACAGATTGCTATATTAGTGGTTATTAATCACACGATGATAAGCAAGTTAGATTATAAAAAAAAAAACAGCTGCTCAGTGAAGGTTAAATTTCTACTGTTTTAGGTAGTATCAAAATGTTTATCAACAAATATTTTTTTAATCCATGAACTATTTTATTTGTTTAGAAAATGGAAGAGGCAGCACAGTACTTAGTTGGAGAACACGATTTTAGGAATATGTGTAAGATGGATGTGGGAAACGGAGTGGTGAACTACAACAGAAAAATTTTACAAGTCATCATTTCTCCTTTGACATTCAGGTTTTGTATTGCATAATTGACGTTTGGTAGATTTTGATAACATATAATTATTTATGTCTGTGAATTTTTTTTTCAAAATATGTTTGATAGGTATTATTTATACGAGATAATTTTTGCAGTGTTGTGAATATTTTTCTGTAGTGATGAAAGGTTTGTTAAGAAAGAGAGAGCAATATTAGATATTTTTCAAAAGATCTTAATATTTCCACATATTAAGTACTGTGTATCGCTTGGAAAGTACTTATGAATTTGAAACTCTTTCGTCATACAAATATATGAAATAACAATACTTAAAACAAGCCAAAAGAACTTATGAACTTATTCAAAAGAGACTTGTGCACGAGTTTTCTTGTCTGGTGAAAAAATATTTTTATCTTGGGTAAGTTTTGTTTAAAGACATCTTGTGCCATTACTAACAAGTAATTTTGATGATAGAGTTAAGCAATATTAAAAATCAATTCGTACCTATACAATAATTTTTTTACCAAATTTTTGTCATTTTTATATTTTTTCTTGATTGTTTTTAAGAATAACAAAGAAACTAAGGAAGTTGTTAGATGTCTCTGATGGTTTAAATAATTAATCTGCTTGAAAGAAAGTAGAGGATTAGTTTTTAAGTATACAATATTTAAACTTTGAAAGTGTGTTTGTTTAACTAACTTATTGATTAACATTTGTTTTGTCCTCTAGTTCTGAGCAGAGCTACCAGTTATTTGAGTTGACTGTGGTGGGTCAAGCATTTCTATGGCATCAGATACGCTGCATTACAGCAGTACTCTTTTTAGTCGGACAAGGCAAAGAGAAGCCTACAGTAAGTCTCTCATTTTCTTTTTTGGGGCTAGGTTTGGCTTAGTAATAAGTATGACATGCTGTGGATCTATGCTGCCCATAGTTCTTGTCCACAGAAATAAAATAAAAATTACACTTTGGGGCTGTGGGTGCAATATAAGGAGGATGGTCAAATCACACAATGTAATAAGAGTTACCTAGGAGTTGGCTGTTGGCACTGTTGATTAGTTGTATTCTCCTCTTGTCTATCAGTTAAAAATTAGGGATGACTAGCCCTTGTGTAGCTTTGTGCAATATGAGAAAAAATACTTCTTTTTATACTATGTATCACCTAACTAGTTCAAACTCATAGGAAATTTCATAACAAGTATTCCATTGATGCAAATGGAAAATGCATACTACTGTTTTTATTTTTTTATTGTTTTCCAAGAAAAGTATTTTTTTTTATGAATGAGAGTAAACATCAACTAGAAATGTTAAACTGTGTTAGTGAACATCCAAAACAAGATTTAATGATGTAAAAGAACCCTAAATATATTAACAACTAATTGAAGGTGAGGTAGTGGTAAAAAATCCCCATAAAAACCACATAATCCAAACTGAAAATTTGTATATACCCCCCGCATGGACCTAATGAACCTCCATACCAATTTTGGTGAAGATCCATCCACACCCTGCAAAGTAATTACATGGACATGCAACAGACAGTACTATTATACTTATATAGATATGTACATCATAAATAAGTTGTATTTTATTATTAAGAAAAGTAGCTTGTAGAAAGAAACATATTCAGAGAATAATTATTAATGGTTAAAATATATGTTTTCATAATTCTTTACTTGGGCTGAGCATGGCATACGGTTATTCTGCTAGACTGCAGATCAAAACAAAAAAGTATAAGGTTCAAAATACAACACCACTTCCATCTGCTCATGAGACTTTCATTTTGGGGGCATGATAACTGTGACAGATGGCAGGTGTTGCATTTTTCTGGTATGCCTGAATCTGAGAAGTCTCTGACCTGACTATTTAGCTCATGTGTTGTATAAAGCCTTTTGGGTTGAAAATATCAATACCATTTCATTCTATATAAAACGTTCTAATGATTAGAGACAGTTAAGGAATGTGCTGTAGAATTAATGATATATGTTTTAAAGTACAGAAGTTTTTTATATTCATTAAATTAGTATAATGTTGTAGAATAAGAATGAAAAACAATAAAATAAGCTATTTTTATGGCACATTTTTCTAAATATTTGACCAAAGACATGCAGAAAAATTCCTCTCTAAAATGTATCTGGTTACAATGCATTGTAGTAATAATTCAGAACTTAAGTAACTTTTTTTTGCTTTAATTTTAGAAATTACAGTGTAATATGATCATATGAAATTAAAAATTAAGTTTTCACTCTTTATTTCTAGATTATTTTAGACCTACTAGATGTGAAACAACATCCAAGGAAACCACAGTATACTATGGCAGCAGGTAACCAGTAGAATATGTAGTAATTATCACACAACATAAAGTTTTCATATATATATATATACATACATACAAACACACAGATAGTTACTTTAAAGAAACTGTTTATATAACTTGTAGCTAGCAAGTCATTTTAAACCCTGAAGTTAATAATTTTGTTCTATATAAGTAGCTCTGGCCAATAGAAAATATTCTTTGTTCCCATTTTGAAAACAAAAATAGATTATCTGACGAAGACATATCTCAAATTTTAGCTTTGATGTACAGTGTTTTATCAAAAAATGTACATAGCTATAACTTTAACCATGGTGCTCACTGTTTTATCAAAAAAATGTATATAGCTATAACTTTAACCATGGTACTCACTGTTTTATCAAAAAATGTATATAGCTATAACTTTAACCATGGTGCTCGCTGGTTTATCAAAAAATATACATACCTCTAACTTTAACCATGGTGCTCGCTGTTTTATCAAAAAAATTTACATAGCTATAACTTTAACCATGGTGCTCGCTGTTTTATCAAAAAAATTTACATAGCTATAACTTTAACCATGGTGCTCACTGTTTTATCAAAAAAATTTACATAGCTATAACTTCAGCCATGGTGCTCGCTGTTTTATCAAAAAAATATACATACCTCTAACTTTAGCCATGGTGCTTGCCGTTTTATAAAAAAAAATATACATACCTCTAACTTTAGCCATGGTGCTCGCTGGTTTATCGAAAACATTTACATAGCTATAACTTTAGCCATGGTGCTCGCTGTTTTATAAAAAAATATACATACCTCTAACTTTAGCCATGGTGCTCGCTGGTTTATCAAAAAAATTTACATAGCTATAACTTTAGCCATGGTGCTCACTGGTTTATCAAAAAATGTACATAGGTATAACTTTAGCCATGGTGCTCACTGGTTTATCAAAAAAAATATACATACCTCTAACTCTAGCCATGGTGCTCACTGGTTTATCAAAAAATGTACATAGCAATAACTTTAGCCATGGTGCTCAATAGTTTATCATAAATGTATACAGCTATAACTTTAGCCATGATTTATCAAGAGTTTTGTGAACAGCATGTCTCAGCTAATAATGAACTTTTTATACTAAATTTACTTATATATCCCATGTTGCACTAATGCTCAGTGTTAATAGCTGTCACAAGTTGCTAGTTGGAGTCAAGATACCACAAAAGCAGAGCTCAAAGGTCTTCAGAAAGAGATGGCTATTAGATGTAGTGTTGATGGTATAAGTATATGAAATTCATTATTGGTAAATGAACTGAAGAGATTGAATACTATTGGTCTTACTAACGTGGAATATTGGCCCTGATGCTTAAATCTAATTTATCTTGGTCTATTGACACTTGGACTGTTGTGGCATTAGAGCTGTCACTTAGGGCTTTAAGGAAAGTTCAGAGCTGAATGCTACCATATACACAGTGATCATGGAACTCTGTACTGGTGGATTTTATAGATGAGCTTATAGTCCATAAGCTGTGATTGTAAATTGTTGGCTCTCATTATGTCTGGAATAGTTATGTTAGTCATAAATAGCTTGTCGTATTGTGATATTCTGGACAGTGCTATACTTTCTGCACAGATAGACTTTGATGACAAAAAAAAACTTTTTTTCATTGTTATAACATACCATGCTATACAGCCAGAGCCCTAAAGTGATTCAACCTATTATATTTTGGACATTTTGTAATGCTATTTGAAGAACAGAAGAGAGATCCCGAAATCTCGCTATACTAGATGTTTAACAACATTGGTGGGAAGTTGGAAGTACGAAAAACAGTGTAGGCTTCGGTTACCCCAGATAGTGGGCTCACTCCCTATTAAAATGTAACTTCACCAGTGAAACATGATACTCCTCTTCTGAAGGTATGGTCTTTCAGTACCTGTTTCATAATATAGGTTGTTTTATTGCTGTTTCCTATTTTTGAGTTACACAGGAGTTTTCACCTCTGTCAGTAAGTTGTGTAATGTTGGTTTTGGACCTGAAATCTACTTTGTAGCCAAGCTTGGACAAACTTTTCTTGAACTTTACACATGCTTCAGTGATATGTGGCAATGAGACATATCCAATCAGTGAGTTAGTCTTGTCTCATTTATTCATGGCAAGGTTTTGCTGACAGCTACTGAGCTAAATGTCTTACTTAATGAAGGCCTTTGGATAATTAGTTATTTCAAAGATTTACTCTATGCTACCTGTATCTTTTTTTGTACATTTTATACTACCATTCTCAGCATCAGTAGTGCTTGTTTTTGTAGTTTTTGAGTGACTTGTTGAAATTAAAATATCTGTTTGTAAGAGGGTTTTTTGTAAACCTAGCTTTAAAAATCTTCATTAGTAATGGCCACCAGTACATAAAGAAAATGAATTTAGTGGTTTTCTTCTTCTTAAATTGTGGAATTTTTAGTTCACTTCCTGAATATGGCTAAGCTTTAAGTTTTAAAGATGCTTTTATTAAAATATGTTCATCAAAGAAATCTAGATACAACCCACAGACATTTAGTGAAAGTTGAGAAACCTTTGGTGTGTTGTCAGTTATGTTGGAGTACTTAGAATTTGATGAGATGTGTAGTTAGAGTTAATGCTTCATTTAATTGATTACCTTAGTGATCCAAAATATAATTACATATTTTACTCAAGAAGGTCATCATTCTCCAGTTTCACCACAACAATATTAAGTTTCTTGTGAAGCAAAACTTTGGTAAAAGTAATATCACATCAAAAGCTTACTAATAAATCTATCTGTCTGTTTAGTTTCATTTTTGAAGTGAAAATAGTCCTTGATAAAAGATATTTTTCCTTTCAATACTGATAGAATTTATGCCTCACTGGTCAGTAGGTAGCTGACATTGAAATGCATGATTAATTAAATGAAGTAGTACCTCTCCTTATTAATTTTGGGCAGACTATACATTTGTGAAGATGTCTTATGATTTGGTTTTAGATACTTTAAGTTTCACACAGTTCTCAATAAATTAGCAACTATTTAGAAATACATATTTTATGTTTCTTTAATCAGATTTTTACTAGGTTATCTAGTTTTGTCTATTTGACACACCACGGTTTTAAGAAAAGTTTGGGCTGAAGGACAGGTAATTTCACATAAATGACTTGTATAGATTTTTAGCAGGTAATAAGAGAAATCAGTATATATACTGTTAATTTCATCTTTTATTATTTGTTTCATTTCAGAGCTCCCACTTGTGTTGTTTGATTGTCACTTTCCAGATATACAGTGGCAGTATGATAATGAGGGTCTAGACTCACTGATCAGACACTTACAGAATCATTGGACCCATCAGTGTATCAGGTTTGTCATTTGCCTTGCAAAACAATATAGATCATGCTAAGAATTATAACAGCTTCCTCTTTGTGTAACATCATTGAAGTTTGATCATGCATCTTTATTACATGGGTATTAATGTAAAAACGTTGTCAGCTGTAACAGATCCCACAGTGAATCCATAAATTAAAGCACTGTAGTAAAATAGATTAAATTATTCAACATATAAAGGCAAGTTGTCTAAAAGTTAAAACAAAACATTCTCAGCTTTTCAAGCCTTGCTCATTTATTGAAACTGTATCTTTAGTATTGGCCATATTTTGTGTATGCAGAATTATAATTGCCAGTAATAATGTATGCTAGGAAACAATATGTAAGAAGAATAAGCTTAATTATATTTTGTAATTTGGTATGAGCAAATTTATCTGATGATTAACAAGGAAATTTCTCTTAATTACCTCCCCTGTATTGAAAAAATAATCAAACATGAATAATTTGGCCAATTATAACTTTTGAAGAAACAAAATGAAATATTTTTATATCTTAAAAGACTGTATGATTATGAAAAATTAACTACTATTTGAATGATAAACTTTCTTTATTATTCTGATTTTGAGAATAGCTTTGGAATATTGAAATTCTAAACAGCTTGAAGCTTTAGATGTGGGATCAAACATTTTTGATTTTATGTAATGCAAACTGCATAGCTAAATAAATGGCAAAATTTGCAAATACATTTATTTGGATCAGAAATATCAAAACTCTATCCAATCTCATATTTATTTCTGATATACAGGTATTGGGCAAAAACTAAAAATAACTGCCCAAACTAGTGAGCTTGTATTAATTTGATTCAGTAATGAAGCATTTATCTGTTGAAACATACTGTCATTTTTTGATAATAAGAATCACTTCCATTTTTTTTTTAAAATATTTGAGCAGTAAAGCAGTTTCAAGGAATGGTTATAACAATACTTGTTATGCTCTTGTGTGGCTAAATCTGGCTTGAGTCTTTCATGTTTAACAAACCAGTGTGCAACAACTCTTGTAGTGTGGATTGTCATCTTGAAAGATGGCAGAATAAAAGTGTTTCATCACAGGATGGACTTTTAAGATGTTTTTGTCATAACTTGGTTTTATACTACCTGTTGGTAATGGTGGGATAACTTTATACAAAGAAATAAACCATTTTATGAAGGAAAATTCTTCACGGAGTGTTGGAATTTAATACTGATCATCCCCACATTTACTCGATTGTAAAAATGTAAATGATAATTCACCAGACTTGATCATTATTTGCTTAGTTCTTTTATTCTACAGTCTATGGTCATTGTTCTATTGTATTAGTCCAGGAGCTGTTTTTCACAAGGACCTTATTTTAGGATTTTGCTCAACCCACACCCAATACAAGGTCTGACTGCATATTACAATAGGGCAACCATTCCTTTTTAAGGTTTGAAGGGGTGTAAAGTCAAATTGTGGTATATGTTTTTACTACAGGTCATTTATGGATTGACTGCTTACCTCCATATGTGTTTAAATTAACTGATATACACACGCAAACACACTGAAGCTTATGTATGCATGTATGACTGATAACTGTGAAAATCCAAACAATAACACCACATGTGCCGATAGTAATGATGACGGTTTTGATGAAAACATAAACTAAAACTTACATAATTATGTAATATGTGTTATTGGATAAAGTGCCAAAATATAATTGATGCATTCGATTAACATCTTTTGTGTCTGTGTAACTTGCAACATTTGCTAGCTGTCAAGAAAGGTATGTGCTAATGTGTCTCACAACATTTAAATTGTTTTGGTAAATGAAAATATATGCTTTGTAACATGTTTATTACATATTCACTAAAGTAATCCAAAACATATTAGGATATAAAGCTAACTATAGATATTTGATGTAGCTACTTGATGATGTTTATAAGGTATCGAGACTGGAGTATTGGTACCTCAGTGGTAAATTTACATAAATTTTACAAGTCTGTTTTGAAACATGTTTTTATTATTTCAAGGTATGGATATACTGAAACATCTTATTTGATTAATGTTTATATGTTTCATTTTTGTCGATTAAACACTGTCGTAGTTTCAACGTATTTGTTTTACTACATATGTGATTTAAAAGTCTTATATGAACAGAAATGTAAAAATAAGATACAAACATGTCTTGAACTTAATAAAAACCTGGATAAAATCACAAAATAATATTATTATTGTATCTTTTAAATAACTAGATTGGTGTACAGAAGGAAGCACATCTATTCAATGAATATATATGTGTATAATAACTTTTACAATTGATTTGGCACTGATGCATATACATTTTCATGCAGAATATTTTACATACATGTGACAAAGATAGCTTAATATCACTTCTTTAGAAACTAAGGTTATTGTTGTCACACACTGGAACATTTGAGCTCATATTTCAGTGATTAAATGGCATCTTCTTGGAACACCTATCTCCCGAGGTATACTGTATACTACTAATCAATAAACCTTGTGTTAAGAAAAACAATGATCTATAGAAATAAACCTATACCACAGTTTGACATGACATCTCTCTATCCCATAAATATGTTAGGGAAGGGTTACCTTAACATGATATGAAGTGAGACCTTGTATGTGGTGTAGGTTGTCAATGGCCGTTTCTGGTTGGAGCTAGCTCCTGGACAAACATTAATTTTGTGGGCTAATGAATAGTTTTTTTTTATAATTACTCTACCATTTGTTTTCCAGAAGATTGAGTTTGAGTTGTACATTTTTTTATGATAGTAATTGATATTTTGTAAAAATTGAACTCTGAGCATATTTTGGTTAGTTATGCCAGCATTTTGCTCCTGTTTCAGCATATGTAGTCCATGCCACTATTACATTAAAGACTGTTGCTTTTTTTTAATACAAACAACCTGTCCAAACTCGTTTACAGATACACCTTTCAAGCAAGCGACTATTGTCGTTGTTCTGTTAGATTCTTCTGGGAAGACATAAATGTCTGGAAGTATATCAAGAATGGCTATCAGAAAATATATCATACAAGTAATAATGAGGTTGAATTTGATTTGCTTTATAGGAAAGGATTCAGGTTCTTGTTCCATTGTCTCAGTTTTTTTGGATATCCTTTATTCATTCTTTGTACTTGTTTTAAAAAAAAAGCTGATTAAGAGTGAGTTGATATTTGATTTGACTAGTTAAAAAAAAATTTATCCTTACAGAACAACTATTATTAAACAAATGTTGACTGATCTTGAAAATCTGCGTGGAGAACATACTGAATCTATTTCGTGCCAGATCGAGTATTTAACCATGGGTGTCAAGCCTCGAATATATAAACCATTGTTAGAAAGACCTTACTGCGGTACGTAGTTTGTAATACTTACTTGCATTTATAAGGAAAAGTTTAAACTTTTTGAACGAACACATATATAGATATATCTGTTGTGTAATATATCTATTTCAAAAGATTGCTCTACATACATTTGTTTTATAAACTTTAAAACAACAAATCAATCAGTATTGTGATTTCTAAAGGAATACTCCAATAAATTTTCATTTATTTATACCCTTTTTATGTAGAAAGTCTGGAAGATAGAATACAACACTATGCTAAACGACAGAAAACTACCCAAGATAGTGAGAGTTCTAAACAGAAAGCTACATCAATACTGAGTAATAATTTGTGAATTAAATAAAGAAAATGTTTCAAATTTGGGCTGTTAATTTTTTATTCATTTTGTATATGGGTATGCATTTAGAAGTTATTGTATATATAAAAAAAAAAGCCCACATAAATAGAGCAACAAAAGTAATTTTATTTTATTTTTTGAGAAATACACAAAAAAGCTTAAAAGCTCATTAAATAACATTTTGAATCCAAAACTTTATATTATTTTAGCAACATTAAGCATACAACACTTTAATTTTACTCTATTAGTTTTGTTTCATGCTTCCTATTTTATTTCCTTATTACCATTAATCTCAAACCTAAATCATTATTTTGTAAAAAAAAAAGTGCCAAATATTTTGTTATAGTACACATGGTACTACCTAATAAAAAATTTTTAAAATTAAACATTCAAGTTTTTTAGCCAAAATAATGATTTTGTTTAAAACACTGGAATATTCCAACATACAGTCTAGTCATAACTGTTGTATATACATTTGAAAATTGGGAAGTTATTGAAAGAAGAATTATCATCACACAGGAATTCCTTGGCACAAAACTTGTTAATAAAATTGGTTATTTTTTTCTAGAAGTTAAAATAGCATGTTTTATTATAATTATTTTTAAGTGATATGTACAGGTTGTTTATAGATACTTTTCTAGGTAATTATAGATAACAGTAAAGAACTGGAGATAAAACAATAACTGTGAAGCAATAAAGTAATGAATCACTCAGAAAAGACAACAACAGTGATAAAGCTATAAACCACAAAAAAGGCAACAACAGTGATAAAGTTATGTATCACAAAAAAGACAACAACAGTGATAAAGGAAAGAACCACACAGAAAAGACAATAATAATGATAAAAGAATGAATCACACAGGAAAGACAACATCAGTGGTAAAGGAATGAACCACACAGAAAAGACAACAATAGTGATAAAGGAATGAGCCACACAAAAAAGACAATAATAATGATAAAAGAATGAATCACACAGGAAAGACAACATCAGTGGTAAAGGAATGAACCACACAGAAAAGACAACAACAGTGTTAAAGGAATGAACCACACAGAAAAGACAATAATAATGATAAAAGAATGAATCACACAGGAAAGACAACATCAGTGGTAAAGGAATGAACCACACAGATAAGACAACAATAGTGATAAAGGAATGAGCCACAGAAAAGACAACAACAGTTATAAAGTAATGAACAATACAGAAAAGACAACAACAGTTATAAAGTAATGAACAATACAGAAAAGACAACCAGGATATCACATTTGTTGTTAGGATTAACTTCACCAACAAGATGATGCACCTTCCACAAGTTAGTATTCATATGAAAATGGTGCATTATACGTCAACATTGATGTAAAATTTTGATTACATAGTTTTTGTTTGCCATCATATTACAGTGATAATTTGTACTTTGTTTAAAAATGTACAAAGTATAACAATAGTAGCATTAGTATATGTCATACTTTCTTGTATTATAAAGAAGTATTATGGACTGCATTAACTTCATTTCAAATGTAACACATGCTTTACTGTTGTTGTCTTTTCTGTATAGTTCATTCCTTTATCATTGTTGTTGTCTTTTCTGTATTGTTCATTACTTTATCACTTTTATATTCTTACTTGTGAAGTACAGAAAAGGGTGGATCTTTAAAATGGTGAGTGTTATTTATAGAAGTTACTCATAATACCCTATGTTCATTTCTTTACATTTCACTAATCTTCATTTGTCAAAACAGTAAGTGAATTTCATACAATCATAGTAGTAGAAAGAAAAGTGAACTTGGGTAATGTTATATACTTTATGTTGACCAATCTTTTGTCTGTAAGAAGTAACTAAAACCTACAAAATACGAGAGAACAAGTAGCTGAAACCTTTTAAGTTACCTTAACGCAAGTTATACATTTAGTAAATTCACTAAAAATTTGTGTTTTTTGCATTGAAACATCATGAGGTTTTTTTTTCAAATTAAGTGGGAACACAGTTTGCATATCACTATATGTTTAAGGTGTAAGATGGAGGACTCGGATGTTTTGGGTAATTCATCGTGCATGATGTAAAAATGCTACATCCTAGAGTGTCTCCTGAGTTAATGTATTAGTGTTCAAAAGTGTTAACATACATTTATAACAAACATACTTTTGAAAAATCAAAAACCATGTTACTGTGAAAAAATTCATATGTAAAGTAAATGGTACAGGTTGATGATAAAGAAAATATTAAATATTTTTAACAAATAATACAATCTTTAGCATTCTCACTTTACTACTTATCACTTCCACCTCAAAATTTCTGTGGACTAACAATTTTATCTTCCTTTTTTTTTGAGACAGGCATTGTAGAGAGAAGGTTACTTTTAAAATTTCATGCTGTTTATTTAAGCACAAGTAAATTAGTTTAATCTAAAACTTTAAGATTATTGTAGTATCTAGTAAATCATGTGATCTGGTCATTTCACATAACTTTTTTTACAGTTTACTTGTACAATGGTGGATTTTGATAAAAATATAACTTGAGATTTTTATTACTGGGAGCTGTGTGCAATTTTTCTATTTGCAACTGAGTTTGAAAATTATCCAGTTCTCAAAAATATTAATCCTGAGACAGCAACTTATGCAGATATAAATTTAAAAAATTCTGTTTAAAAATGTCCAAATCTAATTTCCATCTTGAAAGCTTTCCCATCCCTCCTAACTCTGGCTTTAAAATCAAGTTAAGAATTGAATTTAACTCTTTTACTACCAAAATACATCTCTTCTGTTTAATAACAACACTTGTACATAAGCAAAAAAAATGAGAAAAAAAACTTCTATTTTTGTAGTAAAGTATTTGAAAATGTAAACATTCTGAATATATGTTCCTAGTTTCTGACACAATTAGACATTATGTGTCTTACTTGTTCTATTCCAAGGCTGTCACAATGTTGTGTTCAAGTTTCTTTCATATGGAAGTGCTGGGCATAAACCCTCTCAAAATCTGCAGCCTTCTGCTCCATACTAGTTATTAACTCCTGTGTGGATCTTCTCTCTACTATCACAAGATACATAAAAATTTTTCTAAAAGTATATAACATATACTCCATCTTAAAGTTCACTGTTAATTTATTTTCCCTTATGATTATTGTTAGTGATTATTAACATAGGCATATTTGGTTGCATTAGCATTTCTTAGTTTTCTATCTCATTTTACATATTATTCTTTTGAAACCCCTCAGACCAGTGGTTAAGAAACACTACCATATCTAAACTACCCAAACATATTTGAACTCATCTTTGGCTCTATACTACCCAAACATGAACTTAAGAACTTTTCTTGGCTCTCTCCTATTAAATCAAATATACAAGCTTATCTTTAACTCTGTACTACCGAAAAATGTTTTTTTTTGCAAAAAAAAAAGCTATAAACGGTAACATACAATTTCGTCTACTCCCATCGGCAACAGACTAAATGGGAAAAACTTTAAAAAATACAATCATCACGTTGTGAAATATAGAATAAGGTTTAGATACAAAAATCACTTTTGCACAGTTTTAGAAACAAAGAATTTTTGTATTTAAAGTGTTTACAATACGATGCAATAGACTTTTGAAACGCTCACACATCGATATTTTTTATGTATATGCACATGCTCAAAAAATTATAATACTGCTTTAAAGTTTTTCATTTAAATTAAAAGGGATACCAAATTTACAGAAAAAAAATATAAAACACTTATTTTGGTATATGATTTCATTAGAGTAAACGAAATGGGAACAAACCCTATAAATATCTTTACAAATTCCCTGAAACTTTGAAAATACCGTATCGGTAATACTAGAAGCGATTTAAAAGCATTTTTTTGTCATTTACAAAAAAAGATGTCATTAGTTAAATAGTGAGCTGACAGAAAAGTAATCTACTATACAATAGAATAAGTGATCGTACGATCATGATGAATTCAAAAATTTGTGAGAAATACCATACAGCCAGTGTTTCAGTAGTTTCTAAAAAAAAGTTACAAACGTTTTAAGAATAAATGTCTAATTAACATAATGTACTGTTTATATGATTCGCATCGTTGAAATAAATTCATTTTTTAAACAGCGCCATCGATTAAAATAATTATAAAAAATGTAATATAATACACAGGTTTTGTCTGTCCTAAAAATGCGCGCGCACTTCATTTCAACGGATGTAAAAAAAAAAAGGGCAGATGTAAATATACCTTAGTAGATATTTTGTACAACATATTGAAAGCTGATCAAATTTTTAAAAAGATCTAACGTTATGTCGAAGAATAACATTATAATTCTATTTATTGATAGTGTTACGACAGCGGAGGTCACGTGACCCTAGTAACACGTCATATTCTCGAAGCCTCGAGAGGTTACTAGATGTACGGTATTATTTTATATAAGACGGCCAAGAAATGACGGCAACAATGTCAATTGTGCTGCGGACAGAGAGAGACTGGCGACTGAGTCGAGCGTGCGAGTCGTTTGTTGTGAACTATAGCGTTTGTTGTAGCGTGACTGTGGAAATTAAGTGTATTGCAAAGTTGTATTCAGAAAGAATAAATTAGTATTATTTAAGAAAGGACTTGTTTCGCTAAAGTTTCATCGGAACGAAATTATACGGGAGATTAATTAACAACCACAGACGTAACAATAGTATTTAGTATGGTAAAATTAAGCCCTAACTAAACAAAGCAAAAAAAAAAAAAACAGACATAAGTTACAGTGTTAATTTATCTCTTTATGAACATAGAAGTACTTAAGTACAAGATTTCTAGAATAATACAAAATAATTATAATTGCAGACACCGAAATAATTAAGTCCACTTGTTTTAGGCCTAACACTAGTTAAGCCCTTATTAAAGAAGTACTGTTGCAATAACGATACTAAATTGATCACAAACGTTTTGTGGGTCTCTGCTGGAAATATCATATTAATTAATAGACCTTACCATTCTTCAGTTTGCTTTGTAGTCGTTTGTTCTCCGTCTTGAGAGTATGGATGGTCATTTGTTGAGTTTTCAACTGAAAATATATTGTTTCAATAATAGAAAATATTAGTTATATATATAATATTTTACAGCCCTCTGAGAAATTTCGATAACAATGTACACCAAGCAGGTAAATGACCAAAAATGTATAAAACACACAATGAAAAAATCTTAAATATAATTTATATTACAGTACTAAAAAGTCGTTTATTGTGACAATTTATAACTGTCACTTTATGAACATAGAGCACTTTAAGTATTTGTGAATTTTTTCTTCAAATTGAAAGTGTAGTTAACATTGCAATCAGTCAGTGCTTTAGGAATGGAATGACTGAACACTTGATAAGCGGGTCATTTATTGAAAACGTAAATAAGGCGTAGATGCGTACATACATACGCACACACACACACACACATATATATATATATATGCAGTGGTGGGATTCAGCCGGTTCTTGCGAACCTGTTCTTAGAATTTAATGACCTC